CGCAGGAGGGCCTTTTTAGTTTTGCAGCCCAGTCCCATTGCTAAGGAAAAGTTTGAGTGGAGTGAGCTACGTTGGTAGCCGCTGGCTGAAAGTACGACGTGCCGCTGGCAATCATTTTCGGCATTCCTTGCCAAGTTTCGCAGCGGCTATCAAGCCAGGTGTCTTGGACGGTCTTTTTGTTTGTCTTTCCGTCTCTTGTTTTTCTGCCTGGGATGGGATGTAAGCGATTGATCGTCTTTGCAACTTGGCCGTTCAAAGGACAGCTTGGGGATCTGAGGCTGACGCGCGCGCGTGGAAATGCCACTTCATGCCACTATTGTTTGTCTTCGCTCGGGCGCTCCTCAATGACGTGGTGAGAGCATCGGTGACTCCGCGCGCGCCGCGCTTTCCAACGTCGCGTATTTGAGACCGCCTGTCCGGCCGTGCGACTTGGCTTTGCACACGCAGGATCTTATCTCCGTGTTTTTGTCTTGAACAGTGCAATGACATGTTGCTCGCGTTCATGATCCAGCCATAGCTGCAGAATGGCGGTGCATCATGGTGCATCAAGGTGACCTTGGATCTTTCAGGTGTTCCATAGACAGTGTCGCACTTCCTATTCTGATTTTGGCCGAGGACACGCAGCTTGAGCCTGAAGCAAACGCCGCTTTGGCTCCAACGATTGCATCGGCGCACTTCATGACAGCTTTAGTTTCCTGGCAGAACCAGCGGCTGTCCAATCACGTGGCATAACTCTAGGTGCCTAGCTAGGTAGGGAGCTCCCGCGCAAAGCATCATCTCCAGCAGTGGGCCGGGTCGCGGATCTGGCGCGAACCCATTCAGAACAAATGCGCGACCCGCAATGTCCTGAGGCAAGTCCATGACGGTGCCCCAGCAAGCTGCGCCTCTGCCCCTGATGGACGAGTCTACGCTGCTGGCCTTCGGATTGGGCAGCAAAGCGGCCGCAGCAACTCCCCAACCACAAATTGCAGCTGCTTGATGGTGCGGACCTCCAGAACTTCATTCTTAGAGAGGCGAGATGCCATGTGCACGACCGAATGTATACTGGCAACATGCAGGTATTTGTTTGCGCATCAAATTGATGCTTGTGCGCATTGTTTCTGCCTTCTTGGTCAACATCCTTGGGATAGCCCGTGCTGGTTGACGATGGCAGATTCCCGGAAAAAGCTTTTGAGAATTTCCAAGCCAATGCTTAGGGCAATCCAGGATGTGCTAGGCTGAATTACCCTGAGGATGTTGACAGAGAAACAACAAAATGTGCATTTCGCAAGCATCAACTTGTTGAGGGAAACCGGCCATAAGCGCAATGCAGCCAGGCGGTAGGTGTAGCAGTAGTGGTGGTGGTAGTAGTCGTACTAGGTCTAGCCACGGGGCTACCGATATCGCATAGTGGTTGCAAAGACCTGACACACTATGTATAAACAATTGTCAAGCAGTTGTATTAACTTGTCGGAAAGTAGTACTTTCGTGCTTTTTTTTCATTCCAGATAGAGACGATACAACAGCTACAAACAGTTTGAGGAGCTTCCCAACAGTTACAAACAAGGCATAAACAACCAAGCAATGACTTGTTTGTTAGCAGATACGATCGCAACGGATGAGCTTTTGGCTGTCAACGCGGATGAAAGAAGAATCAAGCTGCTCACTGAGAAACAAGAGTTGCAGAACGATGCCTTATCGACAAAGTTTGGAGTTTTGAGGGACTCGAGCAACTTCAGAGTTTCTATTGTATGGGCAACCTGTGGACTCTACAAATGCAAATGAGTACTTGGAAAGGGAGGTACATTTTTCTAAACTCTATAACGCAAATGAGTACTGAGAAGGAAGGAGTTCAGATTGTTTATGAGCTTATTCAGCTTTGTTGACTTTGGATGCAGTTGCCTTTGCGCGTGATGTTCCTACAGTTTCCTGTGGCTCTTAGCAGGGCTTCTTTCCAAATCTTGCCGAACAACATGTCAATGATGTTTGGTACTTGGCAGATCGTCCACATATGTAGACCAGTTCTTTCACGTGTTCGTTCTTTCATGTGTTCACCTACACACATCTACACTGAAGGAAACAAACACACCTCACGCAGCGGCTGAACAAAGCCATACCACGTTTGCACGCGCAATACTTGGCCTCCCACGTTGTGCAAAAGAGAGCAACCCGCGATCAGGTTGCAAGTGATTGCTGTAGAGTGTAGAAATTCAACGCTGACACCTCCTGCGCAGTCTGACAAGTTGTACACCAGTGCCTTGCCGAAACAATGGTCCGCTCGCAAAGACCATGCGTGATCTGTATCAGGTTCTGTGCGGCCTTTTACTACTATTCTTGCTCACTTTGGGCTTGCGGACCCTTGTTGATTCTATGATGTTTGCTTGTGGTTCTGGTGTCAGTGTGCGCCACCCACCTCTGTGAAGACTGCCTAGTCCTTCGATTGTTGCCTAGGATCCTTGCATGTTCTATCTCTTGTGGGGCTTCATGGCAAGTGGTCCCGTGTGGTTTGCCATGTCTTGTGAACTTTGAGGCGTTATCCCTCAGTTTCACCCTTTGCCGCGTTGTTTGCCTCTACATGCCTGCAGTTCCTTTTGCTGTGGCATTTTTCTCTTGTTGATGACGCTGTAGACGGTGGAGCCGTTGTGATCTCTTCTGATGCGGCAGGGATGTAGCCATTGGTGATGCGGACTCCGCTGTTTCTTCTGTTTCTGTTGGTCACCTTGTGTTGCGTTTGTTTCTTACCCCGGCGCCTTGACTGGTGGGTGGGGCCTTGCTTATGCTCACGGGGTCGGGGGCTCCAGCCCTGCCAGGTGAAGCTTGTGACCAGCCGCCTTTTGGTGAAAATGATTAGTCGGCCCATCTGGGGCAGGATTGCCCCAGTGCGGATGTAACATGTCATGTTTCGGATAAGCCATTCATGGCACCCTTTTGCACGACGTGCTTGAGAAGAAGTTGTCACATATATTCAGCAGCTGGAGCGAATACAGCTTCAGCAATGCACCTGTTGCAGAACAGATTTGTTCAGAGCTTTCTTTTGTCCAATTAGCTATTGATGAGAAAGTCTGGGCTCAACCGCCGGTGGGCATGAATTTGATGGTTATCTCTTTTCGTTGGTGAGGACACCACTTGTGAAAGCAGCGGCGCCATGAGTCAATCTTTGCGCTCAACAAAGCACCAGGTCAAAGCACGTGGTTTGAGCATCGGACCAGCGCACAGCTGGGACTCACTGGTGAGCCCTTCACTTTGACGCAAAACGGCGGTTTTCAAGAAATAGAAGTGTCCAATGCGCATCTGGCAAGTCTACTTGCAGCGTGTCGTGTTGCACGTGCCAAGAGTTGAGGCTCACTGCTTGCAAATACATTCCAGTGGCCAATGCTCCTGGGCTTTTTGCCAGTGACAGTGACTAGCTGTTCCAGGACGATTCACAGCTGTGCCCAGAGCCGTACTTTTTCCTTCCAGCTGATGACCTGACACCAACACAACAAGTTGCCTCTAAGCATGTAGCAAAGAATACGTGCCGCCGGGCCGTTTTGCTGCCGCAAGCCGTGGACACAACAACTTCCTTGCTTGAGAGCCTCCATTTGGCTGATCAATTCTTGTCGCTGGAGCCCGGTAAAATTTGACGGATTAGTATTCAAGCCACACAAAGGACATGGATCCTATCACATTCAGCGTAACGCGGAGAGTGGCAACATTCTTTAGTGCAAACATATTTTCTTTGTCCCCGAATTGGACAAGCAAGGGTTGGTTCAGCTTTGAGGAAATGATGGGTAGTTCGTGGATGGCCAGCGGAGTGGCAAACCGGCGAGCTCGAGGCGTTTACGGCGTGTTGCAGATTTGCCGGCTGTGCAAGACACGCGCAGAGTCGCAGTGACCGCGTCGTCTCAGTCAAAGCTTTCGGCATGAACACGTTCAATTGAGGAATGCTGAGTCACAACGTCACGGGCCACTTTGAGCCACTGCCATGTGCCGCACAGAGGCCACTACCGGACAAACCTTGCAACATGCTTGGTTGACGTGCAAGTGCCAATGGGAACAGGCCACAGCCAAGACGACGTGTTGCACTTTGCGGACACCTTGCAGATGCAACATGCTCCTTGGCTCAGCTCGCCTACTGCGCACTCGCTGCCAATTCCTCAAGAGCATAGGACGCCACAGCAGCAGCTGGTGCTGTTGCTGCCGCTTTGTGCATCTCTGCACCAACGGAAGAGTCAACAGGTTTTTGTGAGATTGGCAGCTGCGAGTCGTTTCGGGCTGCGCAAACGGCTGGGCACAGATGGCAGAACAAGAGCACATCTAGCGCCCTGCAAGACTCTTGTGTGTTGCTCAGACCTTGGTCTGGTACCATCCATGCGTCTTGAGCAGCTCCTCTCACCCTTCCTAGCTACATGGTTCAAGCAGGATCCTGCAAACAGTTGCACATGCAGCAGCCGAAGTCACCTGACAAAGAGTTTGAACCGTCCTCACAGTCATAGTCTTGCCTGACCTGCTGGCAACCCAGGCGGACTCACTCCTCGCCACAAGCGGTGCAGCTGGGCTCTCTGATTTGACATTAGGAAGATTTGATGTTTGAGAGAAGCTTCGCCCGTGGACGACCTGCCCGTGTTCCATGGGCCTTTATGCCTTTGCACGCCGGAGCTGAGCCTCTGCCCATGCGGCGGCACGTAAACGTTTGGTAGCTGCATGGGGCGTGCTGCAAGCTCCGCCCCGAGCCAGACATCTTGCCGTGGCAGGCTGCATGTCGGCTGAAAGGCGCAAGTGCCCTGGAGAGGACAGTGACCGAGGCAAGTCCTTCAGCATGAGAGGGCCTTGGTCTGAGGTGTGGCTCGTGAACATGTTGCCAGCTTGAAGCCAGCTTCCCCGCGACTGCGCTCTTGGTTCGGGCCACGTTCTCCGTCCCTACAGCAGACCTGGAGCGGAGGGGCGAGCTGTAGAGAGAGGGAGGATGCCCGTCCCGTGCCTCCGCAGCCCCTTTCTCATTTGCCGCTCTTGGCCTCTCTCTGGTAGCTGTTGCGTGTGGCATGCAGCAACGTGATTGGGCTCGCAGCTGCTTGCCTCGGAAACCTGTTATCGGCGTGCTGCCTTGGCAGCCATGTGACTGGTGCCCGTACTCGCAGATCAAGATGTCGCGCGGAACACTTTTGAAGGTCACCCAGGCGTGGAGTGGTAACCAAGCATGCTGTGCAGATGCACAACTGGCAGACATCATCACAGGCGATGACTTTCCCAAACCCTGCGAGCCGCGTGGAGTGGTAGGAAGTCGTGCCCAGATTGTGTCATTTTCTGTGGCTTCCATGGTAGCAGGTGCTGCGCATGCGCTGGGAAAAGCTCTCTGCTGAGGGCAACCAGTGCGTTGTTGCAATAGTTTCTGGGGAGTTGCTTGACAAGGCCCTAGCTTCCAGCTGTATGGGCTGAGATCCGGCCCTCAGTGCGTAAAGTGGCGCTAGGCTGTGCTGCGTAACAAAGACAGGCTCACAATTTCCGCTTTTTTCCAGCAACTTTGCCTGGAAAAGGCATGTATGCATTTGTGTAAACATTTGCGTGCCTGCTTGCAGGGCAGCTGCCAGAGTATCTTGCTCCAGATTGTCGTGATCAAGGCACAGCTTGGAGTTTTATCAACCATTCCGCACATTCAGCCGCTCATGTCCTGGTCAGCTTCGGCATGAACGTGCCCAGCGCAGACATGACTTCGTGCAAGCCAACGCTTTGCAAATTGTTGTTGCAATTTCAGCCCTGCCATGCGCAGAGTCAATACGGCCGGTAGCAGAAAGTTCCGACAGACGAAGGAAAAGTACCATTGCAAAATGCACATGTTGCCAGGGCGCACGCCCAAGCAGCCAAGATGCATTGGCGCGGTTTGCTGTCTCAAGCCTTCCCTTGCTCCCCGTCCTTCAAACTTACTTCCACCTTAGAACAAATGAATCCACATTGAAGATCGAAGCAGATGGTCTGATACCCTGCAAAGCCACACATACACGGATCATGTCGGAAGTCAAGGTGGCAGAAAAGAACATCCGCAATTTAATTTCTCATGCAAGCAAGACGCTCTTCCTGTGAGCGCAGGTTCAAAAGGCTACATCAGGCAGCCATGTTTCAGCGCAAAGCAATTGGGATTCGCATTCTGGAGAGGTATGCGGATTGCCTGACCCAGTGGTTCGCGGAAGTCTCTGGGGCTTCGCAGAGCTTGGGTTTGAGGTGCCGCTCTTGGCTTTCGCGGTTCGTGGCCTGCGGTTCGCAGCAACTCGAAGGGGCCAGGACTTTGCGACCATGAATGGGAAGGGGGCAGAGAATTACAGAGATGGCATGGGAGGGCGGGTGGTTCGTGGGAGGAGCCAGAAGGGGTTCGCAGAAATTCGCAGAGGGGGCCGGGGTTCGCAGAAGTTTGTGGCAGAGGTTTGGGGCGCGCAGAAGTTCGGTTGCATGCTGGCTTGTCTGGGTACCCCATTGGTTTTGCCTTTAATATTCAAAGCAGGGCCGGCCTACTCATTTGCTGCGTGATTGGCCCCACATCTGCAGCATGTTGCATGAGCTAATGGCTGCCGGCCGCAAACATATCTTCGTTCTTCAGCCAGTCGTCCGATCGTTTGAAGATTCAGGCCTTGTGGCCTGGTGGTTCGCAAGGAGCGGAGTTCAGCGCGCGGACGGAGAGAGAGCTCTCAGTTCTAAGAGGCCCAACAAAAGCAGAATTGTGACGAGCAGCGCTCAGAACCATAAAGCCAGCCCACAGCTGCATCGCCTGAGCTTGCACATAAGCGTGCCATTGGCTTGCACTGATAGGAGGGCATGCCAGACCTTGGTTTCGCGTTGTTTCGCTGACCATGAGCTCACCATCAGCCGACCAGCTGAACGTCTGAGCACCGTGAGCTGTCGGCTCCTGTGCAAGAGAGAGAGTGAGAGCCTCTCGGCTTGTTCCTGCAAGTTGAGCTGCCATCGAGTTGTGTGCACTAGAGGCAGGTGAAGCTGCGACACGAGCAACGCTGCTGGGCTGGAGCATCGCTGCTCTCCTGAAGTCCGGACTGGCGGAAGCTCATTGCAACTTGCTGCTGGCTTTGGCGGCCTGCACGAGGTCAAATGTGTGGGCGGCCTGCATCCAAGAGGCTTAACATGAAGGCGTCTAACTTCACGGTGGACCGGGCGGTGCACGGGACGAGGGCTTGCCAGCATCCAATGCCCGTTGAACTGCCAAGCAAGAACTTCGCCTGGCGCCCTCAAAGCTAAGCATTCGCATTGCCATGCCTTACCCTTGTGAAATCTTGTGAACTTCGCTCGACTGGCAACTGGTGTGCAAGTGGGCGTGTTTGGTCTTCTTTCACCCTAGGCTGTTCCCTTGTTATCGACACCTGAGGGAAGCCAGCCTCGTGTATGCAGCCCTCCTCGGCTCGCCACAGCAAATCTGCCAATGCAGCGCCAGTGTTTGGAGTCAGCAACCTGGCATCCTTGGAGGCTCCGGTACTGCCGGCCAGAAGTCCGTGACTAGCTGGGGCAGAAGTCCGTGACTAGCTAGCGAGCGCTACTTCGAATTGCCGATGCCGCACCGAGGGGCATGCTCCGCTGAACTCCTTGCGCCGAGTCGCAGGCGGTTGGCTTGTCTGCAACTCCTCCAATCCCTCCAACCTCATAGTAGGAATGTTGTCGGCCTTGCCTACATACAGTGATCCTTTGATTTGCATGCCGGACGTACTTTGAAAAAGGATAGTTGATTGCTTGTTTCATCGCCCCAAGCAAGCCCGGTGATTCCTGATTGCATAAGCTGGTGCGCAGCAAAAGCAGGATTACATAGTGCACCACTAAATCGAACGGGGTTCATGGGGGCGGTGCAGGTGCTAGGTTATTACGTGTTGTCCCAATGACCCAGGAGGACTGCCATGACCACAGTTTGGGGAATGTTCTGAGTGACATGGCGCAGACATACATAAGGTTCGCAGCCCAAGTTGCATGTTCCACTGTTTGCCAAGAAACCAGGCTTTGCATTTGGCAAGCACAACGACCACGCATCTTTGCATTGCCACGAAATTGTTTAGCCCTTAGCCTTGCATCGGAGCCCAGCCTGACTTTTGCAGATCGGGCGTGATTGAATGACGCCTGCCCGCCCACACCCGCCCGCACCCTTGTGCAGACAGACCGAGCAGAATTTTCGACCGGCAGGTCCGACTGAGGCGATTTCCGCAAGGCAGATGCTAAGCCTTCCGCGCATTTGGTGCAAAAGGGACTCGTTGAGAAGGCCAAGCCCAAGAATTCAAGGGCAACATATTTCTTTCGGGCGATTTCCCAATCCTCGAAACAGGATTCGGCACCTTCGTAAGTTTCACAGTCAGGCCCAGAGACGGCTTCGATTTGGGCCATTTGCGCGTCGACATGCCGTGCACAGACACTTGGCTTGAAGCTGCGTGACGCCGTGCTTCAACCTGCCAGCCTTTGCAAGTCAGTCGAAGTTGCGCTCTCGCACTAGTTATGTGCCGCAAAGCCAAATCGATTGCTCCCTCGACTCGTTGAGAAGGATGAAGCCTTGTCGCCGCTGCGTTGGCCGATAGAATATTTTGGCAAGGCAAATTCCGCTCGTAGAAAAGAAGGCAAGGAGTGCGCTTGAGCACCTTCAGATTTTGATTTTGCCGTCTCTGGAAATCCGCTGCCCGTGTGTCTTCCAGCCACCGTTGAACAAGATGTTGGAACCTGCAAATCCAGGACTCTGTGATCTTGCAGTCACAGGCCCAATCGGTGCAGATTGTGTGACGATGATGCGCATTTGCGTCGTCGATGGACTGGCTGCTTTGCAAAGGACGGCTGGCCGTTGCCAGTTGGTATCCCGCCGGATGGTCCCGAGGGCCACTTCTGAGCAGGCAAGGCATGGAGCAAACTGCGTCAGGAGTTGGGAGCCTTGGGCATACTGCGCAGGGGGCGCTCGATCGTTTGGTGGTGCATCTAAGCCTAAAAATATGTTCTGGAGTCTCAGCTTGAGATGATTCATGTCTTTATCTGCGTGTCTGCTGCATGCTTGGAAGAGGCCCGCGTTCGCAGGATTTTGCATTGCAAGGCATGAAGCGCACGAGCGGATTCGGGCGCATGCCTGAATGCGCGCGAAAAGTGTCCCCAGTTGTGCCAGGGCGTGAGATCCACGAGCGCTTAGCAAAGTGTAGGGCTACGCATGCGGTGAAAGTGTGCTGAACTTCGATTCCGGGCAAGGCAATTATGGTAAGCAGTTGCTGGGGATTGATGGTCTAGTACGAGGGCACTAGCACAGTCAAACTGACCCGCAAGCGATAGAAGTGTCCTCTGACGTGCGGCATACTGGAGGCATGCAAGCGATGTTGTGGAGTTCTCGCACGTTCATCCACTCGATACTTTGTGCAGGTGCCGGATCTTGTGAGAGGCCACCAGCCTCGCGTCAAGCAGAATGCAGAATGAGGATGTAGAGAGTCTCAGGTGCAAGAGAAAATGCTTGAAATGTTCCAATCCGGCATGTCCTGAAACTGAGCTGGCCATGTCTTTGCACAAAGGCATTGCTTTGGCATGGGTTAATCAAGAGTTCTTGCTCCGGATTGCAGCGCAGGGACTGAACTTGCCGTTTGGCTGCCTTTTGGCAAGCGAAGCAATTGTGTCTCGGGGCATGAGATCTAGCATAAGCACTGTGCAGGCGTGACGTCTGAGCAAAGAGTGGCAGAGCTGGCAGTTTTGACGGATTACGTTTAAGGCACCAATTTCTTTCTTCAGCATCCTGCGCCATGCCAGTGAATAAGATCTTGCTGGAGCTCAGTGCGAGTCGTTTTTGCTCGGATCTTCAGATGTGGGTATGGGTCAAATACCACCAAGATACCGCAGGTTTTGGTCCATGTTCTTATTTCGCAGGATTCCATTTTGGGTACATATTCTTGACCCACAGCAAATGCTTGCGCAGCTCGCATGAAGACCATGCGCATTCGCGGTTAGTGCGCGGGATCTGGCCATGGGCAAGGCCAGGCTTCGTGGCAAACTGTGGCGGAACTGGCGTTTTGATGGATCACGTTGAAGGCACAATGCGTTCTGTGTTTGTGTTCACGCCAAAAGTGGGAAAGATGAGGATGGAGCCTGTGATTCCAGGGGTATGCTCAGATACTGAGATGTTGCAGTTGTAGGTTCAAGACCAAACACAACGCAGCTTGTGTGAAGACGATGTGAACCAAAGTCGCTTCAACTCTGCAAAGGACACGAGTTTGGTAAGGGCCGCTGAAGAGTTGTTGCTTTGGATTGCACCACATGGAGTGGCATTGCCGTCTGGCGAACTTGTGGTGACACCAAGTGCGCAGGCTGCGAACAACAGATTGCATTGAAGGCACGAAGCGTGCTGCGTTCGGGTGCCCGCACACCAGCAGTGAACAAGATGTTGCTCGCAGCCAGGGTTCTTGCAGTTTTGTGTTCAGATGTTTAGATATTGTAGTCACAGGTGCGAGAGGAAACGTGCGTGCAGCTTGTACGAAGATGATGCGTGTTTTCATCGGCATGTGTTGCAATGCACCAAAGTTGCTTTGACTCTGAAAATAATATTTTAGGAAGGGGTAATGAACAATTGTTGTGGACTGCACTGCTGGCGTTGCCGTTGGGTGAAGTTTTGGGGATGGCGAGTGAAAAGGCTGCAAAGCAGCTCTGTCAGAACGGGAGATGAGACTAGCACAGGCAGTATGCAGGCACAAGGTTTTATTAACATGCGGCAGAGCTGGTGTTTTGAAGGAGCAAAGTGTTCCGGGTTTGAGTTCAGCTGCAAACCAGCAGCGCAAACAGATGTTCCTGGAGCCCAGAGACATTCCAGGCTTGCATTCGGATGTTGCAGTCACAGGAGCAAACCCAAGCTGTTCCCAATCCTGTGGCAATATCTTGCTTGCGCTTGCAAGATGAGCTTTTCAGAGGTTCGGTCAACACTTCCAGCCGTATATTCACGTGGAAGGGACTTGGACTGACAGAATTGTGGGAGCATGGTTTTGGTCTGGGAAGACTGCGGCAAAGCACCGGAGAGTTTACGGGGCTTCCTTTGTCCATTCTTTCACAACGAAAGATGTGCCGTGTCTTCATGATGGGATTTCCTTGCTCGGATCGTTGACACGGGCAACTTCCATGCTGGGTAGTGGCAGAGTAGTATGAACAGTGACGATGCGTCGTATGGCGGGACACCAAGCAACTGTTGCACAGCATGCATTCACGATGCCGAGCTGACAATGCGCGACCTGACCCCGAGTACAAAAGACTATTGCGGTTCATGCCGAGGTAGTTGCTTGTTTGGGCTTACCGCATGGAGACTGTTTACTTGGTGGGGGACTCTGTAGGCATTCAGCGAGCTGCGTTGGCATTTCAATGTGGCCACATGCTGATTTCATTGGCGTTCTGGCGGTGCTCGATCTTGCAGTGATAGGCGTACGTCGGCATCTTTGACTCCCGCATCACACACAGCGAGCAATATGTTGCCGGGGTCCAGTGTGATTCCAGGCTTAGTCATAAGCATAAGCAGCTTCTGCCGGCATGTTCTGCAAATGCACTGAACGTTTGGCAGAAGGGGGAGCTAGAAGCGGTCATGTCAAGGCGTAAGATCTGGCCATGGGAAAGACGCAGTCTCAATGTTGTAGCAAACTGTGGCGGAGCTGGTTTTTTGACGGATCGCGCTAAAGGCACAATGTGTTTTGCATTTGCGTTCAGATGCACGCCAGCAGTAGGCAGATGTTGCCGGAGTCCAGTGTGATTCCATGCTTAGTCACAAGCATAAGCAGCTTGTGCCGGCATGTTCTTCAAATGCACTGAACGTTTGGCAGAAACTTTGGGATGGGGGGATAGAGGCTGCAAAGCGGTCAATGCGCAAGATCTGGCCATGGGAAGGACGCAGTGGCAATGTTGTAGCAAACTATGGCAGAGCTGGTGTTTTGACGGTTCGCGCTAAAGGCACAATGCGTTCTGCATTTGCGTTGAGATGCACTCCAGCAGTAGGCAAGATGTTGCCGGAGTCCAGTGTGATTGCAGGTTTTGTCACAAGCATAAGCAGCTTGTGCCGGCATGTTCTTCAAATGCACTGAACGTTTGGCAGAAGCTTTGGGATGGGCGGCTAAAAGGCTGCAAAGCGGTCATGTCAGTGCGTAAGATTTGGCCATGGGAAAGACGCAGTCTCAATGTTGTAGCAAATTGTGGCGAGCTGGTGTTTTGGCGGATCGTTAAATTTGCGTGCAGCTGCACGCCAGCAGAGAGCAATAATTTTCTGGAGCCCAGTGCGATTTCAGGCTTGTTTCAGATGTTGCAGTTTCAGCCGAAGAAGCAAGTGCTTGTTTGCTTGTGTGACGGCGAAGCGCGTTTAAAACAGGTCCTGAAAATTGGAGCCTAGCCCTTGAACAGGAGGAGTTGGCTCATGGACTGACATTGGTGTTTGGCAGGCGCTTTGGGATGCCGAGTTAAACAAGCGTTTGCGTCACGTCGTCAGATCTGGCACAGGCAATATCTTGCTTGCGCCCCATTGCAAGATGAGCTTTTCAGAGGTTCGGTCAAAAGTTGCAGCCGTATATTCATGTGGAAGGGACTTGGACTGACCGAATTTTCCGGAAAGGGGACTCACAAATTTCACATGTTTTGGGGAAGCAAGTCATTCTGACCGCCAGGCGGTACAGCCCATGTTCAGTGCAGCTAGTTTAAGGCCGTCGTGCTGCAGCTACATGGATGAACTAGCTGCCAGTTTTTGGACCAGCCTGGGCAAGTTGTCAATTTAGCTGCCTTATGTCCGTTGGCGCGCATCTGCCAAACATCAATTCTGCGTCAGTCAAGCCTGCATGTGCTCTTGCCACAACCGGGTGCAACACTCTTACATGTCAAGAATTTGAGTTGAATTAATGATGATCAGAATGAGTTGGGTAAACAACACTTTGAAGAACTGACACAAAGAGCTGGGATCTAGTTCCTGTGTAGACACACTCTTGGTTACGCCACAAGCCTAACAAGCACATCGACTTATGCAAACTCATGTGAAGAGCGGCATTTCCAAGACCCGCCTACCTTCATTTGAGTTAAAATGTGTCTGTTATGCAAGCTCATGTAAACGGCCATGTTCAGGATGGGCTACAAGGTGTGGCTTTCAAAGCTGGCAAAATGTCCACATTGAAACCAATATGAATGAGAAACAGAGGCCAAAGGTAAAGAAGTGGAGCGTTGGTGGCAACATCATTTGGATAGATTCACAACAAAAGATGTGTATGAGGAGTGACGATGCGTCGCATGGCGGGACACCAAGCAACTATTGCACAGCATGCATTCACGATGCCGAGCTGACAATGCGCGAAATGACCCCGAGTACAAAAGACTATTGCGGTCCATGCCGAGGTAGTTGCTTGTTTGGGCTTACCGCATGGAGACTGTTTACTTGGTGGGGGACTCTGTAGGCATTCAGCGAGCTGCGTTGGCATTTCAATGTGGCCACATGCTGATTTCATTGGCATTTTGTTCTGGCGGTGCTCGATCTTGCAGGGATAGGCATACGTCGGCATCGTTGACTGCCGCTTTACGCACAGCCAGCAATATGTTGCCGGAGCTCAGTGTGATTCCAAGTTCAGATGTTCAGATTCTGCAGTTATAGGTTCCAAAGCGCATACTTGTGCAGGTCGCATGAAGGCGATTCGTGTTCACGTGAGCATGGTATTGCTCATGCCAGTGTGCAAGATCTGTCCATGGGCAAGGCACAGGCTTAGTGCCGTAGCAAACTGCGGCGGAGCTGGCGTTTTGACGCATCGCGTTGAAGGCACAAAGTGTGCTGCATTTGCGTTCACCTGCACGCCAGCAGTGGTCAAGATGTTGCCAGAGCTCAGTGTGATTCCCGGTCTATGTTCCGATGTTCAGATGTTGCAGTCATAGGTGCAAGAGAGAGCGCTTGTGCAGCTCGCATGAAGATGATGCGCGTTCACGCCAGCTTCTTGAAATGCACTGAACTGGCCTCCACGGTGCAAAGGACGTTACTTTGAACAGGTGCAATGAAGGGTTCTCGCTCGAGTTGCCCCGCAAGGGCTGACATTGCCGTTTGGCAGAAGCTTCGGGATTGGGAGTGAAAGGATGCACAGCATTCAGGTCTGTGCGTAAGATCTGTCGGCGAAGCTGGCTTTTTTGCATCGCATTGAAGGCACAAAGTGTTCTGCGTTCCCGTTCAGCTGCATGCCGGTAGTCGGCAAGATGTTGCCGGAGCTTAGTGCGAACCCAGGTTTATGTTCGGACATTCAATTCTTGCAGTCATAAGTGCGAGAGAAAGCGCGTGTTCAGCTTGTGTGAAGACGATGCGTGCTCACGTCGGCATGGTCTTGAAATGCACCGATTTTGCCTCCGCTTTGCAAAGGACATTACTTGGACAAGGTGCAATGATTGGTTCTCGCTTGGATTGCCCCGCATGGTGTAACATTGCAGTGGAAGAAGCTTCCGGATGGGGAGCGAAAAGTCTGCAAAGTGGTCATGTTAATGCGTAAGATTTGGTGCAGCACACAGTGTTTGGCGTTTGCGTTCAGCTGCGCGCTAGCAGTAGGCAAGATGTTGCCGGAGCTCAGTGTGATTCCAAGCTCAGATGTTCAGATTCTGCAGTTATAGGTTCCAAAGCGCATACTTGTGCAGGTCGCATGAAGGCGATTCGCTCACGTCGGCATGGTATTGCTCATGCCAGTGTGCAATATCTGTCCATGGGCAAGGCACAGGCTTAGTGCCGTAGCAAACTGCGGCGGAGCTGGCGTTTTGACGGATCGCGTTGAAGGCACAAAGTGTGCTGCATTTGCGTTCACCTGCACGCCAGCAGTGGTCAAGATGTTGCCAGAGCTCAGTGTGATTCCCGGTCTATGTTCCGATGTTCAGATGTTGCAGTCATAGGTGCAAGAGAGAGCGCTTGTGCAGCTCGCATGAAGATGATGCGCGTTCACGCCAGCTTCTTGAAATGCACTGAACTGGCCTCCACGGTGCAAAGGACGTTACTTTGAACAGGTGCAATGAAGGGTTCTCGCTCGAGTTGCCCCGCAAGGGCTGACATTGCCGTTTGGCAGAAGCTTCGGGATTGGGAGTGAAAGGATGCACAGCATTCAGGTCTGTGCGTAAGATCTGTCGGCGAAGCTGGCTTTTTTGCATCGCATTGAAGGCACAAAGTGTTCTGCGTTCCCGTTCAGCTGCATGCCGGTAGTCGGCAAGATGTTGCCGGAGCTTAGTGTGAACCCAGGTTTATGTTCGGACATTCAATTCTTGCAGTCATAAGTGCGAGAGAAAGCGCGTGTTCAGCTTGTGTGAAGACGATGCGTGCTCACGTCGGCATGGTCTTGAAATGCACCGATTTTGCCTCCGCTTTGCAAAGGACATTACTTGGACAAGGTGCAATGATTGGTTCTCGCTTGGATTGCCCCGCATGGTGTAACATTGCAGTGGAAGAAGCTTCCGAATGGGAGTGAAAAGTCTGCAAAGTGGTCATGTTAATGCGTAAGATTTGGTGCAGCACACAGTGTTTGGCGTTTGCGTTCAGCTGCGCGTTAGCAGTAGGCAAGATGTTGCCGGAGCTCAGTGTGATTCCAAGCTCAGATGTTCAAATTCTGCAGTTATAGGTTCCAAAGCGCATGCTTGTGCAGTTCGCGTGAAGGCGATTCGTGTTCACGTCGGCATGGTATTGCTCATGCCAGTGTGCAAGATCTGTCCATGGGCAAGGCACAGGCTTAGTGCCGTAGCAAACTGCGGCGGAGCTGGCGTTTTGACGCATCGCGTTGAAGGCACAAAGTGTGCTGCATTTGCGTTCACCTGCACGCCAGCAGTGGTCAAGATGTTGCCAGAGCTCAGTGTGATTCCCGGTCTATGTTCCGATGTTCAGATGTTGCAGTCATAGGTGCAAGAGAGAGCGCTTGTGCAGCTCGCATGAAGATGATGCGCGTTCACGCCAGCTTCTTGAAATGCACTGAACTGGCCTCCACGGTGCAAAGGACGTTACTTTGAACAGGTGCAATGAAGGGTTCTCGCTCGAGTTGCCCCGCAAGGGCTGACATTGCCGTTTGGCAGAAGCTTCGGGATTGGGAGTGAAAGGATGCACAGCATTCAGGTCTGTGCGTAAGATCTGTCGGCGAAGCTGGCTTTTTTGCATCGCATTGAAGGCACAAAGTGTTCTGCGTTCCCGTTCAGCTGCATGCCGGTAGTCGGCAAGATGTTGCCGGAGCTTAGTGTGAACCCAGGTTTATGTTCGGACATTCAATTCTTGCAGTCATAAGTGCGAGAGAAAGCGCGTGTTCAGCTTGTGTGAAGACGATGCGTGCTCACGTCGGCATGGTCTTGAAATGCACCGATTTTGCCTCCGCTTTGCAAAGGACATTACTTGGACAAGGTGCAATGATTGGTTCTCGCTTGGATTGCCCCGCATGGTGTAACATTGCAGTGGAAGAAGCTTCCGGATGGGGAGTGAAAAGTCTGCAAAGTGGTCATGTTAATGCGTAAGATTTGGTGCAGCACACAGTGTTTGGCGTTTGCGTTCAGCTGCGCGCTAGCAGTAGGCAAGATGTTGCCGGAGCTCAGTGTGATTCCAAGCTCAGATGTTCAAATTCTGCAGTTATAGGTTCCAAAGCGCATGCTTGTGCAGGTCGCGTGAAGGCGATTCGTGTTCACGTCGGCATGGTATTGCTCATGCCAATGTGCAATATCTGTCCACGGGCAAGGCACAGGCTTAATGACGTAGCAAACTGTGGCGGAGCTGGCGTTTTGACGCATCGCGTTGAAGGCACAAAGTGTGCTGCATTTGCGTTCACCTGCACGCCAGCAGTGGTCAAGATGTTGCCAGAGCTCAGTGTGATTCCCGGTCTATGTTCCGATGTTCAGATGTTGCAGTCATAGGTGCAAGAGAGAGCGCTTGTGCAGCTCGCATGAAGATGATGCGCGTTCACGCCGGCTTCTTGAAATGCACTGAACTGGCCTCCACGGTGCAAAGGACGTTACTTTGAACAGGTGCAATGAAGGGTTCTCGCTCGAGTTGCCCCGCAAGGGCTGACATTGCCGTTTGGCAGAAGCTTCGGGATTGGGAGTGAAAGGATGCACAGCATTCAGGTTTGTGCGTAAGATCTGTCGGCGAAGCTGGCTTTTTTGCATCGCATTGAAGGCACAAAGTGTTCTGCGTTCCCGTTCAGCTGCATGCCGGTAGTCGGCAAGATGTTGCCGGAGCTTAGTGTGAACCCAGGTTTATGTTCGGACATTCAATTCTTGCAGTCATAAGTGCGAGAGAAAGCGCGTGTTCAGCTTGTGTGAAGACGATGCGCGCTCACGTCGGCATGGTCTTGAAATGCACCGATTTTGCCTCCGCTTTGCAAAGGACATTACTTGGACAAGGTGCAATGATTGGTTCTCGCTTGGATTGCCCCGCATGGTGTAACATTGCAGTGGAAGAAGCTTCCGGATGGGGAGTGAAAAGTCTGCAAAGTGGTCATGTTAATGCGTAAGATTTGGTGCAGCACACAGTGTTTGGCGTTTGCGTTCAGCTGCGCGCTAGCAGTAGGCAAGATGTTGCCGGAGCTCAGTGTGATTCCAAGCTCAGATGTTCAAATTCTGCAGTTATAGGTTCCAAAGCGCATGCTTGTGCAGGTCGCGTGAAGGCGATTCGTGTTCACGTCGGCATGGTATTGCTCATGCCAGTGTGCAAGATCTGTCCACGGGCAAGGCACAGGCTTAATGACGTAGCAAACGGCGGCGGAGCTGGCGTTTTGACGCATCGCGTTGAAGGCACAAAGTGTGCTGCATTTGCGTTCACCTGCACGCCAGCAGTGGGCAAGATGTTGCCGGAGCTCAGTGTGATTCCCGGTCTATGTTCCGATGTTCAGATAGCCGTCATCAGGGATTAATGGATTATTTATGCGAGCCAGCGCTTGGTCACGCACAAAGTGCAAGAGCTGTTCTTGCGGGTCCCCAGAGTCCATGGTGCTTGATGTGTGGCTTAAGCGCAGCCGCTGCGATGTCAGACACGGCTTCCATTTGAACCAGCTTAGCGCTGTCCATGCGCAGGCACGGTGCAGGCTTAATGTCCAAGCAAAGCGTGGCAGAGCCGGTGTTTTGACATATGGCTTTGAGGGCGCACAGTGTTTGGCGTGTGTGTTTAGCTTGATAGAGAAACAGGAAGTGTTCCAACCCGTTGCAGAGTCGCAGCTTTTGTCAGGCCACAACTACAGGTCGGGCAAGGGTGGGCTCGTTGTGCCGTAGCGAGCCCCTGGCTTGTGTCCAGGATGCATGTCGACCACATTGTGTGGTTCACCTTGAGAAATGTGATGTGAGTTGTTGTCGGATGCATCAGAGTTGACACGTGGATTCAGGCATGCCCAAGGCTGATTCAGACACAGAGGCATGATTTGTGCCGCTCGTTGCTCTTGCGAAAATCTTGGCAGTCTTGCGCAGGGTTGGCCCTTGCGAAAGTCACTCGCAAGACACGGGTAGTCTTCCAAAACCCATTGCAGAGTCCCGTTTTTTAGGCCAGAACTACAGGTTGTGCCGTACCCTGCTTCGCCGCAGCTCCCCACCTGTACCCCATGATAAAATGTCGACCTCATGCTCATGAGATGTGATGTGACCCCCGTGTGTGTAGGAGGTATCAGCTGATGAGCTCCGTGTTTGTGCATGCCTGGCCCTTGTGCAAGATCCTCTGAGGAAGCAGGCAGGTTCCAACCCGGTGCAGATTCGCGGCTGTGGCCGGCCTTGCCGTTTCCCGTGACTTTGGGATGTGACACCTGTGCATGCAGGATGCATCAGTTGACGAGGAGATGCAAGGACGGTCACAGCTGATAAAGACACAGAGGCATGGTTAACGCCCTACTTGGTTCGCAGCACAAGCTGTGTGATTTTCGTTGATTGCTGCCAAGAGCAAGATTTGTCACTCGCAGTGCACATGCCAATTCTGTGAGCCGGAGGAGAACCGCTTTCTCTAGCACCGGTGCTCGCTGAGTGCAAGATTCTGCCCAGGGTGACCACCACCCTGGCGCAGGTCGTGCTGCTGTGTCTTCCACACTACACCCCAGCTCCTGCGTGTGCATGCCCACACCAGATACATCTGGAGACTTCTCAAGGAGAAGTAGCATTCTGATTTTTAATGAGCACCGCTACTTTTGTGCAAAGCCGGCCAACGCGTTGCGCACCTTTTGTGCGGGTCTGATCGTCCAAAGCCATTGCACCTTGTGCCCCGACGCAAGTGGGGATGATGAGAGAATCTTCCTGACCAGCTTTACAGCTCGTGTTTGCGCAGGCTGGCCCTTGCGAAAGTCACACACACAAGAAGCGGGCAGTCTTCGTTGCAGAGTCCCGGCTTTTGCCAGGCCAGAACTACAGGTTGTGCCGTACCCTGCTTCGCCGCAGCTCCCCACTTGTACCCCATGATAAAATGTCGACCTCATGCTCATGAGATGTGATGTGACCCCCGTGTGTGTAGGAGGCATCAGCTGATGAGTTCCGTGTTTGTGCATGCCTGGCCCTTGTGCAAGATGCTCTGAGGAAGCAGGCAGGTTCCAACCTGCTGCACATTCCCTTGACTTGTGTCCCAGGACGCATTGCGACTGCGCCTGAAAGATGTGATGTGACGCCTGCGCATGAAGGATGCATCAGTTGACGAGTGCATGCAAGGTCTTGCAAGGCTGCTGATGACACATAGGCAATATGTGTGCCGCACAAGTTGGTTCGTTGCCCAAGCAATGTGAATGTCATGGAGGGCTGCCAAGAGCAAGATCTGGCACTCGCCATGCGCATGCCGATTCCGTATTTGCGCAGGCTTGGCCCTTGCGAAAGGAATTTGCAGGAAACAGGCAGTCTTCCAACCCGTTGCAGAGTCGCTGCTTCTGTCAGGCCAGAATTACAGGTTCTGGCAAGGGTGGGCAGGCTACGGCCACAGCCCCCAATTTGTGACCCAGGATGCATTTCGACCAGATCAGGGTTCACCTTGTGGTTGTGCGACGCATCAGTTGACGAGTGGATGCAAGCATGCCCAAGGCTGATGATGACACATAGGCAATATGTGTTCCGCACATGTTGGTTCGTTGCCCAAGCTGTGTGAATTTCATGGAGGGCTGCCGAGAGCAAGATCTGGCTCTCTTCGCGCGCATGCCGATTCTGTGCTCGCGCAGGCTTTGCCCTTGCGAAAGGCTCTCCCATTGCTCCCAACTCGTATGCCAGATTTATTGCGACCACATTAGGGTGCACCTGAGATGTGATGCGAGACGTGTTCTCCCCATCCTCAGACAATTACGTTGCATGACTCAAGGCCAGGAGCGGAAGGCATGAGTCACTATCGTGCCAGTGCCTGCAGAGGGGGGGGGGAACGGGGTCTGAGAACAACAAACGGGCCAAGCTGAAGCGTGTTTGCCAATGAACCCGGCGATGAGCTCCGCTTTGGCGAAGGAATCTCAGGAAATGACTTTGATTGACGGGCGCGTGTGCCGCGCACGCTCACATGGGGATATATCATTGTAGTCACCAACCCAAGCTCCGTAAATGATGTGAATGTGCAGCTTGAGCTTTCCAGTATTGCTTAACACAACTCGCCTGTTTCGGCAGCATATGCCTTGGAATATCGTTTGTCGCGAGCTTTGGGCGACTGCAAAGCTGACCCCTCCCGTCACACCGAGGGCAATTTCACTTTGGTGAGGGGCATGCTTTGTGACTCTTTGCAGAAGCGGGCTGCAAGGCTAAAGCATCTGACTTGCACCCAGGAAAGTAGACCAGGGTGCCCACCGTGTTTTCTATTCTGCTGCACTCCGACATGCGTCACAGACACAGCCTGTGCAACAGCTGCTAGCTAAGTGTCCATTGTTCAAAGATTATGCGAGCGGCCAGATTCCTAGACTCCTGTCAGGTGCGGGCACTGCAACCCAGACGCCTTTTGCGGCACACTGAATGAAGGTGAGTGCAGCAGTTGGCCATTTCCGCCGGAGCCCTCCATGCACTTGCTACAAGCCTTCAAGCTTGACTCATTGACCCCTGCCAAAGTTCAGCCCTTGCAGGGGTCTTACTCCAGACTGCTTTTGAGGAAATTCAAAGGCCGAGATGTAGCTCATCAGATGCAGCTTCAGCCAGATTGCTGGCACCTCATGCGAAAAGAGTGCAAAAAAGAATGCAGGGCTTCTCGGGCATGCCCCGCAAGGTACTAGCGCGAGGGTGCGCATTTGTTAAACAATCTTACTTGTATTGATGTCTTCCAGGGAGTGGGTGAACATAAATGTATACTGTCCACTCACTATTTGCCAAGGGCTAAATAGGCATGTTCAGAGCTCCGCAGCTTTCATGCCTGACAGAGCTTCAGGTGATTCTAACACTGTCAAAACCAGACTGGCATCCGCCACAGCAAGCATCAGAACAAAGACCGCTAATCAGCATGACACATCTAAATCAACAAGGAACGTATTTCATAAGTGAGTTTGTCACTTTTCATTTCCAACACATGTTGAGCATGCAAGTTCAAGTCCTGACTCCCATGTGCATGCTGCAGGGTTCACTTTGACAAGCTTGAACACAAGCTGCTGAGTTTGATAGCGGAGCCCTGACTTTTCAGGGCAACCCATTGAGTCCGCGCTGACTGAGTGACCACGGTCACTCCCTCACCCGGACCGCGAAGTCGGCCTCGCCACGGCGAAGATCTTTGAGAAGATCATCCTGGCGGACTCACTCGTGGGCGAGCTGGTAACTCATTGACAGGCAAGTTTGACATCTTCGAGAAGCTGAAGCTCTGGTCTTGGGTCTGTGTGTGTCCTCTGGTCGCTGGACGCCTGGAGGAAAAGTGCAGCAGATCACGTTGTCGCGCGCAGGCCGGACTGAGCCTCCGCGAGTATGCTGCGGAATGGGAGCTTCGCTGTCAGTAAGCGCAGATGCGTGCTGGTTTGGGCATCAGCGAAGTTGCCAAAGCGTTGCTCTTCTTGCAGTCTTGGCCTCCTGGAGCAGACATGCCGCCAAGGATGTGGAGCTTGAGCTTGTTGGCATGCCGCAACGAGGCCTTCTAGGAAGGCCCGCGGATCTACTACGAAGAGCGGGACTGGCAGGACTGGGAGTCGCCGGGCAGCCTGGCAAGGGCTTCTACCAGAACATCAGGGCGCTTCGTCTGTGAGTCCAATTGCGCATAAATGAATGCGCGAGGGCAAAAGTCCAAGAGCCAGCACGAGGGAAACCACCCTGTGTAAAGGGCTGAGTTCTTTGTGGCTGAGCCCGATGCAGCAGCGCGTGCCACAGGGTGCTCTTTGAGCGCACGCTTGAAAGAAGCTGCCTGCTACACACTTACCGCTCGGCAGCAAGCGTCAACCCTTGCTTCAAACTCGACGTAAGGTCTGTGCTTCTCTCTCTGCTTCGGGGTTTGAAGGAAGATTTTGTTGGTCGACTCCCAGGACAGAGCGAGTGTCTGAAGACATGAACACATGAAAGTGATCCTGGTCAGTTGTGTGTGCTGGCGTGACCCAACTGCTCGAATTTGGCGGTGATGTCAAAGGCGTGTTGTGTCCAGCTTTGCCACTGCGCGCTGTGTGCGCGGGGTCGACGGTGCGCAAAGATACAGCAATCGTTCGCGCCACCGAATGTCATTCGCGTTCTGTGGGCGCAAGTTGATCTTGGTGCCTGGCGGATGCTGCTCCATTTGTCAAGTTGAAAGAGTGGGTCATTGATGTCCACTGGTCAATTAAACCGAAGATCTTGAACCCTGTCAAAAACTCTACTGTCAGGTTGTATTCCGCACCATCTCCTTAGTGCGTCACTTGTCTCAGCGATGTCTTCTTGAAGCGTTATCTCGCTGTCGAGTAGTTTTGCACTCAGGTGTTGCAGACGGACACGCGCAAGACCCTGGCAGAACTGGCGTGGAAAAACCTGCGCCTGCGTGGTCTCGGAGGCTGTGTAGTTCCTGCATCTTCTGAAAGTTGGTCACATCACTTATGACCGCAATCCTGTCAATGCGTGACAGAGACATGGAATCGCTTCTACCAGTCTCCCGCCATCACATGGACGACGGCGCCATCATCCGCCAAGAAGGCCACCCTTGCAGGCGCAGCGAAGAAACTGTCTGCCATCGCGTCAAACCGCTTGCCTCTCAGACCCTCGCCTAGGCCATCACCTGAACTTCGGAAGACTCACCCACCTCCTTGCCTCTCTTTTTTATTCCAGAAGAAGCACACTGGAGCTGCGCAAGAATTGGCCTTCGCAACTTCCACAAGCGTGCGCTTTTGTTGCTCCACCCAGACAAGCCGGATTAAAGATGTTCTCTGGTCCAAGGGGAGTGAATAAAGGTCACATCGCCTAAACTGTCCGCTCGTAACCCACGCTGTCTTGGCTTGACAGACTCTCTGCGCGGATCTTTCTGCTTGTTTGTTCTTCCTAGGGCGTGTCGAAGGTTGTTCGTTCATCTTGTGTTGGCGCTGCGGCAGGAATTGGCTCAGTTGAAGCCCTTTCACTCCAAGCAGTGTGAACAGGTTTGTCGGTGTGACGTGGGTCGTGGTGAGCTGTTCTGTCTTATCGTCCAAAACGCAGTGATCTGGTTGTCCAGGCCGTGAGCTTTGCGGCTCCGGATGTGGTTGGTTGTCTGCGGAAAGGCTCTGTGTGTTTGCGCAATCTTGGACTTGTTTTGGCTGGTGTCTTCGTGACTTGAGTGCCAGCACTTCTCACGACGAATCCCAAGGCTTCGTCTGTAAAAACGGCGTAGGCGACAACAAAAACAGGCAAAGACGGCGACAACGGCATCGACAGCAGGCAGCTGCAACGGTAGTAACCAACGACAACCAACAAACACCAACCACCAACTAGCAACCAACAGCCAACAACACCCAACAGCCGACAACAACACCAGCGAACATCACAGGCGACACCAACAACACCAAGAAAGCTCGGTTTAGGGTAGTCTTCGGCGTATGGGCTTAGAGCTAGTCTAGGGCGGCGTTGCTGAACTGAATTTGGGGCTGGGTTGGTAATCACGACTGGTTTCAGGTTGTTTCCGCTGCTGCGGCTGCTGCTTCTGTTGATTGGTGTTGTCGTGGTCGTTGTCGCGGACGTCGCCGCGGGCATGGTCGTGGTCGTGCTCATGGCCGTGGCCGTACCCGTCGTGATGGTCGTTCTTGGTGGTACGGCAGTAGTTGTTTGTTGTTGGTTGTTGGTTGACTGTTGTTGTTGCCACATGCAAAGACATTTTCTGAAGAGACCAGCCCGGCCATTTAGATCTCCAAGCAGCCCGACTGTTTCGCCCGTGGGCTCCGAACACTTGTTTGTTTGCGTTTGCGGATACGTTTGCGGCATGTGTGTGTTTCTTGGCTCAAAACTGTGAAAGCAGGCAACGGTCAAAAAAGATAGAAGCTGGTTTAAAACATAACATTGGTAGGAGTGAGAAAGCAGCAATACTTGTAGCATAGAATGGCGGGCCC